GTTACAGATCCGAGCCGCCCTGACAGTGAAGTAGCGTCTCCTGATGTCTAGTCTGAATCTGCTCTCAGCCAACTTATAGCCATTATTCCTTTCACACCTGGTAGTGCTCAGGGGAACAAGGACTGTCCCATTGCCTGCTCGTCCCCCCTGACTAGTTTATAGACAGCCACCAGGTCCCCCCTCAGCCTTCTCTTGTGGAGGCTGAACAGGTTTAGGTCCCGTCGCCTCTCCTCGTAGGGCCTGCCCTGCTGCCCCCTGATCATGTTATGTTGGGAAAAAAAGTCTCCCCGAATAGCTTCAGTCAGAGTTGGCAACCCTAGGGCCAGGCCAGGCCAGGCCTCGTTTCCTCCATGTAGCTGGGTTGGGGCCTGGCTGAAACCCCTTCTCTTGCACTACTGGACCAGGCCTGGGCTTCCCCCCCCCCCCAACTTGCAGATAACTTCCAACTTCTTTCCATCTTTCAGCTGAGATGCCTTTAAACATTTTCTTCAGGTTGGTGCATACTGGTAGGGGGTTTAGCCTTCCTCTGTAGCAGGGTACGGCCCGCTACCTGGTACTCTTCAGCCTATATTGACAACATTATACAGAAGCCAGGACATGGACGGTCCCCCTGCTTTACCAGGGGCAGGTTCGGGTGTGAGGTCTGCGTTGCATCAGAGTTGACGGGAGGTAGACTTGATGGCGGGTGGGTAGGACGGCAGGGAGATTTGACGGCGGGTAGATCTGATGGCAGGTATAGTCAACAGGAGCTCCAGGAGCCCACGGACACGGCAATGCCCGTGCGACCAAGAAGCCGAAGCCGCCCTCACCCGACACCGCAGCACCGCGGCGGGACCCGCGCAGGCTCCTCGAAGCAGGGAGGCAAAGGCATGACAACACCGGGGTCTACGCGAGGCAGGCTTGGGGCCCGCCATCTCCATGGCAACGCCTGGACACGGAACTGCTGGGCCGGAAGCGCGCTTCCCCGCCCCGCCCCACCACTTCCTTGTGCCCCTGGGTGCCGCTTCCGGCTCGCGCCGCATCCCTTCCGGGGGGCGCACGTGGTTATTGGCTGTTGGGGCGGCGGGGACCCGCCTTCACTTCCGGCGCGGGGGGCGTTGGCAAGATGGCGGCGGCGGCGGCCGAGGTGCGGCGGCTGCAGGCCCGGCTGGAGGCGTTGGAGCGGCGTGTGCTTGGGCCCGGGGCCGGCGGGCCGCGCAAGGTGCGGGCGTCGGGGTCGGGGTCGGGGTCGGGCCGGGTTACCCCCCGCGGGTCGAGGGCTCACGACTCTTTTTTTCCCTCTCCCCTTGTAGCTGGCGGACGGGCTGATGAAAGTGCAGGTGGTTCTGGGGAACGTAGCGAGCAAACGAGAGAGGGTTAAGATTTTATTCAAGAAAAGTAAGCGAACATCCGTCACGGGGGGATTATGGGGGCAATCAAGACCCTTGGATTATGGGGGGGGTGGTTAATTTGGCTGCTGGTAAAAGCCTGGTCTGTGGTGCAGCTGTCTGTCACTTTTATTTTTACAACACCTGTAATTTCTTTTTACATGTTGGGCTTGGATGAATGACCGTGTTTCCGTAGTCTTGGAAGTGTCCACTGGGACATAAACCCCCTCTTAAGAAAATAGAAAAGCAGGGGGTTTTTTTGCTTCCTCGCCGCCGTCTTGTTTCCTTCTCGCCGCCATTTGTGGTCTGTGCTGGTGCCACTGCTTTTATTTTAACAGCACAGCTAAGAAACGGTGCTGATACCTCCCATGGCAAAACAGTAGCTGATGATATTTGCAGCGCTAATGTTATAAGCTGACGCAATGAAACCTAAGGCAGGACCTTGTGAAAACCAGACGCCTTGCTCTAGATGTGTTTTTGGCTGTTGATTTTTAGATGGGTTCATGTGATCCCTCTAGCAAAGTAGGGGACTTTGTGTGATGGTGAGGGAAGTCTGGGGTGAGGGGCACGGATCACGTAGAGATCTGGGCATCTCTACTAAGTGACATTCATGTTGGGTACGCCAGAGACTCTGATGGAGTACAACAAAGCCTCTGCGCCTTGCGTCTGAATCGCTGTCTGATCTATTCAGCATCCTCCCCTTTGCAGGCTTTTGGAGGCAGGGGTTTTCACCCCTGCACTCTTTGAGTCCTGTACTGTGGAAGTTCGTCATCCTGCCTTAAATACTGTACGTGCAGGGTTTTTCATCAAAACACCCTAGCAAGCCCAGTTTGGCACCAGATGGCTCTTGCAAATCTAGTAACTTCCCTTTTGCTCTTTCTTCCCTGAAACTGCATCAGTTGAAGATGTGATAAAATACATGGACCCTCAGTACATTGATCGCATGGCCATCCCTGATGCCATGAAGCTGCAGTTCATCTTGGCAGGTATGTGATGAAGTAGATAGACTTTTTTAGTTGTGTGAAAAGGTTTCCATCCCTTTCACAACTTCTGATCAGGGGCTGAGAAAAGAAATGTTGTCTTTGGTGTCCAGTGTGTCCCTGCAGCCTGCTCTGTGTTGCGGCTACAGATCAGAAATGGATGAGCTGGGAGGAGAAAAGCGGTCTGCTGAGCATCCAGCGAGAGCTGGCCATGCAGCTGGGGAGGGTGGCCTGCTCCTCTGTGGAGGTGCCTGCCCTTTTGCTGAAGTAACTTCTCCAAATGATTGAAGAGTAATGGTGCCCGGTCTGTCCTGGCCTGAGTCAGGAAGAAAGTACTTGGGGCAAGGTGGGGAGAGTTTCTACTGGTTTTCTAAACTGTTGACATAACAAAGCTGTGCTTGGAGGCCTTAAAGCCCTGGATGTAGATTAAATCTCTCTGCCTCGACTTCCAGCCCTGTGTAGCTGTGCACAGGCAAGGCCTGGGACCCTGCCTCTGCAGCTGGAGCCCATAATCCCAGTAACTTCAGTGGAGTTTCCCCTGATGCCCCCTAGTGCCAGGGAGATGGAATCAAAGCCGAAGATGTTGCTTTAGTAGTACAGAATGAGGGAGCAAGAATGCCTGGTGCTTTCGAGGGCTTCCTCCTCCACCCATGTATGGTTTAGTTTGAGGCAAGTCACCTTGACTGTGGCTATAGGAATCTCCATCTGATAGCCAGGCCCCCCCCCCCCCCCCC